CCGGACAATAAAAAACAAAAACCGAAACAGTTTCTTCCCCCAGGATGTACCTCTGCTCTGTGACAGACTGCAGAATCCTTTTAGCACTTCCAATAATGCTGCTACAGTAATGTAATACAGCGATAAACCAGCATCTAGACTGGACCTGTTACTCATAGTCAAGCTCAGTTTTCACTACTATTGAAAAGAGGAAATTACCACATTCATAATATGGATCTATCAGTATATACGACTCATTCTGTACATATTTGTTAAAAGCAGGAGCGCCTAAGCTTTTTGAGCAATGATTGTGCTGGGCTTGTCTGAAAATGCATTTTGTTACTACAGTACAAATAAACATCATTTTAAAGGTAAAGAAAAATTTCATGTTATACAGTACTGTACTGTGTTTCCAGTCAAAATGGCCATCAATTATTCATTTTTCAGGAGATTAGATATTAGATAATCCACTGGCATAAGGGAGGAAAGTAAATGAAAAAGTGCTTCCAAAACTGGAGTTCAAAAAACACTTAGAAGCTACAGAGAAAATGTGGCTCCTAACAACCACCTGGAAGACTGGTAGACACCAAAACTGCCCCCATCAGATAAACAGCACTTAAAGCTTTCATCTCTGAAACAGAGGAGAAAATCAAGCTGCTTCAGATCTGAAAACATCCACAGGTGTTTCTGTCCATCCTTCCACTGTGAGAAGACGACTCAGCGCTGTGGGTCTGAAAGGATGTGTAGCTGTTCAAGAAGAACCTCACTGAGAAAAGGAGACGGACACATCAAATAAAGAAGCTGAACAATGGACTGACCACCCCAGAGTCCAGACCTCAACACCACTGAATGTGTTTGATTACTTCAGAAAATGATTAACCAGCTTCTAAGACTGGACTTTGGAGGTTTGTCTGCAGATTCTTTGAGGAACTGGAAGTGAGTCTCCTGAAAAGAATGGAAGCTATATTGAAGGTAGAGAGTGGACAGTCTAAATAGGGGAAAATATGTTTTCTGTTTTTTTTTTCCTAATGTTGAAAAACAACTATACCGCACTTAATGGCTGTTTTGACTGGAAATTAAATAAATGAAGTCCTTTCTCAAGTGTTAATGAAATTTAATATGTGTTCTTTATTCAGTTTCAGCACTTTTAACTATTTTCATTTTCATTTAGAACTTCAAAGTACTTGTCATAAATCTCAAAGATCAGATTCGTCACCCATTTTTTAAATCTAACATTTTTTATCAAAGTCAAATTCTTCAGTGTAAAATGAAACTGCCCATAGTTTAAATTACATATTTTGTTGATTTTTAACAGAAACTAAGTGAATACATTCTCAGAACATAAATATGATACGTTATGCAGGGTTTTATGCATAATTTGTATTTATTTGCTGGGTTTAACATATTAATATATATATATATATATATATATATATATATATATATATATATATATATATATATATATATATGAGAAGAAAACCTCATATCTACAAAATGGTAACTTTACAGGAGAAGGTAAAAACATACTCTACTTTTAATGTAAGTCAATGGAACCAGACTTTTTTCATAGCCATTTTTGGCTGTTTCTTTTGGTCCATTCATCATGAAATTTACACACAATGTAAAGAACAACAGGCTTTTTCAAATTAGGTCAAAAACTGAAAAACTATACATAAACTATAATTATATATATAAAGAGTGCAATAACTTTTGCACAGGTCACATTTTACATATTTTTTTTTTCCCTAATATGTTAAATTCAGCAAATAAACAGTAACTGTACAGTACTGTAGACAGGGGGGCCCTGTAGAGGATGTGCTAACCTACTTTCACTCAGAAAATCAACAAACCATGGAGTTTGACCGAATTTGCACACAACTGTACGTGAAATAGCACAGCAACACAGTCCATTCCACAGTCACACAGGTCCTGCTCAGTCCACAGTCCGATGGAGAGCTCAGGCCAGCAAATATTGATGCGACTGGCCAGTTAGAATAAACACAGAGTGAAGTACCTGCAGCACAGCTGCTGCTGTTTAGCACACGATACTGTTTTACATGCAAAAAGGCCATTAGCAGCCTGCCTGAAATAATGAACCAGCGCAGCAGAGCATACGGCAATGACCTGCCTCTAATGACTGTAAAACCACAACGGACAGGGTCATTTAGCACACGCACGCACACACACGCCACTCAGGGTGATGGTGATGGAGAGAGAAAGAACGAGATAAACGTTAAAGAGACTCTGAGAGTCAAAATACACTTCACACTTAACATACAGAGGCTGAGAAATCAGTATTTAAAGCTGTTTATCTGGTCAGTGAGTATTTATTTGCTCAGAAATAGACAAAAATTAGAATAAACACAAATACTGTAAACCTAATAAGTAGATATTTTCTGTATATCAACCGTTCCCAAACCTCTCCTTGTAGATGCCCAGTATTATTTGTAATTATCAGATAATCACTACTTCAGTTTGTTGCTGCTAATTGACTTCAACGAATCTACGTGACGGCTGGGGTCGTCCAGGAGAAATCTGGAACCAAACTTTGATACTTCATTTTTTTATTTTCTTCAAAATAAGAAACTCTTGTTACTTTTTTCTGTATTTATGTTTCTCTGCTTTCATTCTAATGACATATGCTGACTTTAAAAGCACAAAAACACACTTATTGCTCTGATAAATGCTATAAACACTGTGTTTAGGTGCCTAAAACGTTCACACAGCACTGTATAAACACAGGAATGACCTTTCTGGAAATACATTGACACCAAACGTATGAGAGCAAGACGGACGATTGAAAGTTTGCGCTCCCTGTCAAACACACATGGGTTCCCACATCACGACAGAAAAACTAACATCCTTGTCAGGGAGAAGCAACACAGCAGGTCAAACAGCTTCACTTTATGTGCTCCTGTCTCTCACACACTCACACTAGTGCACTGGTATGTTTGTGTGGTGAGAGCAGACTAATGAGTATATTTGTGTCTGTGTGTCCAATTTATATAAAACATATGGATACATAATATTACATATGGGACATATTACTATTCCACACGAGTACTTATAAAAACTTATACAAGTCATTTAAGTGTAACTACCTATAAATAAGGAGTTCATTCCAAAATGCTGTTTAACAATTTGTAACAATTTTGGATATAATGTATTTTTAAATATAACAGCTGATGTTAATTGAAAAATATTGTTATTTATCTAATAAAGTTGTTATGATATTTCTTGCATGTGTAAAGTCCACTTCCAATAGCATATATAATTTAAAGAATCTTGGAAGTGGTCTATAATGCGTTAAAACACGATTTCATACAGAACAAAATCCTTCATACTCTTGTAAATATATATGAAACATGTGTATGACCCCATGTCCTCACAAGGTACAAAAACAAGCCTGTGTGAATGTTTGTATATGTGCACCAATATATTTAGATAGATAGATAGATAGATAGATAGATAGATAGATAGATAGATGGCCTTTAATATCACAACACTCATGTCAAATACGTATTACACATGTCCCATATGTGGTATAGGTATGTAACAGAAGTGTAACAACAGATTCAGCCCATGATTTGATTCGTTTTATGATGACTCATGATGCTAAGATCACGACTGCATATTCTCACAATATTCTAGACAAAATTCGACTTAGGAAAAATGACTGTAATCATGCTATGTATGACATTAGAGCTGAGAGGCAGGAGGAGTGCTGCATGGAGGTGTTAACTGGTGCTGACAGTTCGTAAACTTGTTCAAACTGTTCAAACAGTGAAGCTGAACTAGATGGCATATCTATTGTACATGATGCACAGTCACAGTTCTTTAACCTGGTAAAGGCACTGTTACACCCCTAATATGTAAAATATTTATATTTATAAAAATATTTATATTTTTATAAATATAAATTAATATATAATATAAGAATTTATATATCGCTGTTGTCGGAAGAACACTTTGTATCTCCAAAATGGTAACTTTACAGGAGAAGGAAAAAACATACTTTACTTTTAATGTAAGTCAATGGAACCAGAATTTTTTTGGGTCATTTTCTTTTGGTCCATTCATCATGAAATTTACACACAATGTAAAGGACAACAGGCATTTTCAAATTATATCAAAAACTGATATATATAATATCTTCATTTTGTCAATTTATATTTTTCTACATCATTTTAACACACCAGCTGTCCTTTACATTGTAAATTTCATGATGAAAGGACCAATAGAAATGCTTTAAAATCACTTGGAAAAAAAACCTCTTTAACATTAACTTATATTGAAAGGTAAGAGTGTTTTTGCTTTCACCTGTAAAGTTACCATTTTGGAGACACTTGTTGGAGACAAATATATATATGTGTGTGTGTGTGTGTGTGTGTGTGTGTGTATGTGTGTGTGTGTGTGTGTGTGTGTGTGTGTGTGTGTGTGTGTGTGTTTGTGTAGGTATATATATATTACGTAGTATATAATATTATATATATATATGTAATAAAAATATGCCTCATATGTAATATGTACACATATTGTATCTATATATCATCACTGCCCCCCAAAAATAAAAAACACAAGTACCTCCATTTTTTTTTTTGCGTTTTTTAGTTTTCTGCACCTTTTGAGCTCAGCTGCTGTCCTTTTCCATCATATACAAATTTCAAAATGATCGGACCAACAGAAAAACTCCAGAATTGTTTGGAATAAAATCTCCTTTCATGAACTTGCGCTGAAAGTTAGGAACATTTTGGCGCTCTCCTGTAAACTTACCACTTTGGACAAACTTCTTTTTCGTTTGACAGTGACAATATATAACCCTAATATATCCTCAGTAACCAAAAAGAACTGCTTTTGCCCTTTCAGTTTTAAACTAATGCGCCATTCCCCTACAAAGCTGGGACGCTCTAGTCCTGGAAATGCATGAAAACAAACACGCGCACACACTCGTTCACCTGTAAGCCGCTCGGCTCAGGCACGCAGAAGCGCGACAGGCATGATCTGTGAGCTTCTCTTACCTGAAGATGGGTCTGTGGAGAAGTTGCCTCTTTATGGTCACATACTGGTCCATTTACGAGTGCGTGAGTGAGTGAGCAGCGTTCAGACTCTCACTGGGGCTGTCCCCGGCTGCAGCTCACATTGCACTGCGAATCCAGTCTGGCCCTGCCTCTAACTCTGTCTGAAAAGGCCAGGGAGGCCATAGCATGGGCTTTACTCTCACTTACACACCCACTAACTCACTCAGGCCAGCTTCCAGCTGGGGGTTTGGATCTGGAGCGTCAGCTCTTCCCCTCGGTGGGAGAAAATTTAGCACTAGGCTAGTTAGCTTCTTATCTAGTGGCGGTGGAGGACAAAGTACACAAATCCAGCGTGTGAGTGAAAGTAGAGATAAACCAAGCAAACTGTTCCTCAAGTAAAAGTGCAAGTGCTCTGTTTAAGCTTAAGTACAGAGGTAAATATACTTAAGTGTATAAAGTAAAAGAGATTTTCTAACATTTCTCCTATTCGGTCTTCAGTTTAGGAAATGGGTAAAATTTCAATCCTCTTCCAAACTCCTGGGATATCGGCTAGCTGATTTAAAAATGGCCAATGTTATGGCACTTTTTGTTTACTATGAAAGGTTATCAGGGCCTATTTACTGTTGCTAGGCTACATGTGGACTTTCAGTGTTTAGGGGAGGGACTTTGTAAAGGCTGCACTATGTTTATGTGAAAGTGCCTCATATTCTTTCTTAACAATGGTGCAGTCTGATTGGTTGAGAAGTGTTCTAGCCACGCTGTTATTTGTGTTTTCTTTAGACATTATCAGTATCATTCACCTGAAGAAATAAGTTGCTTTATGCTACAGCTAATCATTACTGTGTTTCTACTTCAGCACAAACTAAAACAGAACATTAGAGAACTTCTACACTCTCAAAAATAAAGGTACTGAACTGTCACTGGGGCAGGACCCCTCTTGTCACTGGGGTGGAACCCTCAAGGGTCCATCTCAGTACCTTTAGTCAGGGAACATAACTGAACCATAATCCACTGAAATGATATGTTCTAAGCTGTACTGACTCCACACACCCCGTCTCGTCTCCAGGCTTTTATTTTACTGTTCTGTTTTAAATCATTCGGTTATGAAAAAGAACAAATACAAACTTTTCACCTGGAAAAACTTATTTAAGGTTCACAATCAGACCTTAAAACCTCTGTTGTACCTTTGAGGGAACATTTACACTGTTTGTACCTCAATGAATGAAAAATGTACCTGAACAGAACCTTTATTTATAACAGTGTACAAGATAATATTTGACCTGCAGCCATTTGGTCAGGTTCTGAAGAAGGACTACATCAAAATCTGAACCTGTCGTTGCTCTTAACAAGACAGTTTGGCAGTTTTGATGGAATAACTAAACAAATTGGAATTAGCCAGAAAGAAACAGAAAACAATTCAGCAAGCAAGCTGTGCAATGCTTTACAGACGGGCTGGAACAAAACCACATTCAGGTTCATCTGGTAAGCATTAAAAAAGCTGAGCTGAACCTGATATTGCAACAGCTAAAGCAAAAGGGTCCTAGTTTCTGTGGCAGAAGGAATCCTCAGCATCAAAGCACATTATATACAAAGCTCAGGGCTTCTTTGTTTAGCAGAACCGTTGCGTAAAAGTAGCAGAACACTCAAGGTCATCCGTTACTGTGAATAACATGGTAATATGATGATGTTTTTCATGATAACCCACAATCTCAAGTGCTCTACTGCTATTATGAAAAATCTAATTTTTACTTCACAACATCGCAGTAAACCCCAGCGAGCCAAAACATTAAGACCACTCACAGATGAAGCGAATAACTATGATCATCTTGTAACAATGGAACATGTTCAAAGTATAGGATATACCAGATGGCAAGACAACAGTCAGTTCTCATAGTTGACTTGTTGGATGCAGGAGAAATGGGCAGGTGTGAAGACCTGAGTGACTATGACAAGGGCCAAATTGTTATGGCTGGTCGAAGCATCACCAAAATGGCAAGTCTTGTGGGGTCCCCGGTCAGCAGTGGTGAGTACCTACTGAAAGTGTTCCAAGGAGGGACAAACTATGAACAGGCGACCTGGGCGCTCACGGCTCATCAGTGCAAGAGGGCAACAAAGCTTATCCCATCTAATCTGAACCAATAGGAGGGCTAATGTGGCACAAGTCACAGAAATGTTTAATGACTGTTCCATCTGCCCTGCGGACAGAGTGCCTAAGCTGACCTCTATCGACTGTTGAAAGTGCCTACAATGGATTTTGGAACTGGACCTCGGAGCAATGGAAGAAGGTCTAATGGTCTGATGAGTCCTGTTTTGTCTTTCTTCATGTAGACAGCCGGATACACGTGTGCTATTTATGCGGGGAAGTGATGGCACCAGGATGCACTGCAGGAAGCAGACAAGCTGGTGAAGAATGTGATGCTCTGAGCAATGTTCTGGTCCTGCCATTCATGTGGACATCACTTCGATGCCTACCTAAACATCATTGTAGTCCAGGTACACTCCTTTATGGCAGTGGTGTTCCCCAACGGAAGTGGCCTCTTTCAGCAGGATAACGTGCCCTGCCACGCTGCACACATTGTTCGGGAATTATTTGAAGAACATGACAAAGAGTTCAAAGTGTTGGCCTGGCCTCCAAATTCCCGATTGAGCATCTTTGGAATGTGCTGGAACAAGAAGTCTGATCCGTGGCGCCTCCACCTCGCAACTCGGACTTTAGGGTCTGCGGCTAAAGTCTAACAAGATATCAGGGAGATGGTGAGAATGTTTGGCTCATATGTAGCGGAGGGAAAGTAAAAGTCTCAAAAAATAGAAACACTTTACAAAAGTACAGATACTTAAGTACACACTTAAAAAATATGGTAATTCAAGTTCTTTAGTAAAGACAACGGATCTATGTAGAACCATGAACACTCAAAGAACCCTTTGTGGGATTAATGGATTCTTTGTATCATGAAATGGTTCTTCAGATTGATGGAGGAGGTGTTGTATATTGTTCTATATATAACTTTTGTGAAAAGGGGTCTATATAGCACCACAAAGCGTTCTTCTATTGTTACAGGCTTAACATCGTTGAAGAACCCTTTTTGGTACTATATAGAACCATTTAACCAATCATTCGTTCTTCTAATCATAATCAGTGCTTCTTCAAGGGTTCTTTAGTGCAGGTGATTAGAATATAAATCCTTTTAAACTGTGGTTCTTCAAGGGTTCTTTGGTAAAGGTGATTGGTATATACATCCTTCTAAAAAGTGGTTCTTCATGGGTTCTTTGGTAAAGGCAATTGGTATATACATCCTTCTAAAAAGTGGTTCTTAATGGGTTCTTTAGTAAAGGCACTTGGTATATACATCCTTCTAAAAAATTGGTTCTTCATGGGTTCTTTGGTAAAGGTGATCGGTATATACATCCTTCTAAAAAGTGAAGGTGATCATGAAATGGGTCTTCAGTTTGATTGGAGAATGTGTATATTGTTCTACATAGAACGTTTCTGAAAAGGGGTCTATAAAGCACCACAAAGGGCTCTTCCATTGTTGTTTAACGATGAAAAGAACCCTTTAATCATGCAAAGTTTTCTTTGAGTGTTCATGGTTTTATCCAGGACCATTTTCTTTACAAAAGAACGATTGAAGAACCATCATTTTTAGGAATGTAAAATACTGAAGACCAAGAACACTTTGTTACTGTCCACCACTTTCTAGCAGCTCTGTCCTTCAGACACACACACAAAAATAAAGTTTCCCTCTTGTCCTCCTTGTCTTCTAGCCAAGTGCCTCGTGAGAAGCCCGTCCTTCTCCCTCTGAGTGAGTTATTTTGTGCTCTGTAGGCAAATTAATGAAGGCACCGGTCAGAGAAAGCTTGGCCTCATGTCAGCAAAACAGTAATTATTTCACAATCTGGCGTGGATTCAGTGCGGGGTGATGTTTGGACGAAGCTATGTGAGGCGACACAAATTTTCTCGCTTTTTGGCAGAAGGCGGGGATTAGCGTGATGAGGCTTGTCGTGCCTTAATCGACAGAAGGTTTGGCTCTTTAGCTAAGGCTTGGACAAACATTCGCTATCCTCCTCCTGGGGAAGCGACCCAAGCATTCATCAGATGCTGTAGCGCTTTCACAGACACTGATAGCTGCACTTATTAAAAAGTCTGAAAGTCCGAAAGCAAATAAATAAATAAAAGAATAAAAGAGGAACACGCAGCAGTGAGAGAAACATCAGAAAGGCCAAGAAAAAAGACCATGAAAGAGGGCAGCAGCTCGCTAGGCAAAAGTTCAGGATCATTAAAGACGTCTTTTAGGGAACACGTAAATGTCACTGTTTTTTATTCCTCCAGCCTCAAACTGGGCACGGCTAACGGCTCAAAGCGTGTTCAGCGTGAGCTCAGGGTCTGGAGGGAGGCAAAGCTAATTTTACAGCCTGTGCAACTTTAACACAAAAGCAGAATGTCATATCAATAAACGTGTCAATAACTGACTGGCTAACAATGCGTTACATTAAGAGCTGTAGTATCTAGAGCTTTTTGAAGGTGCCAAAATATTCCTGGCAAGACATTCTCGCTTCTGAGTGAGGCAGATCTGGAGTTGCACACTGAGAAAAGTTCAGCCCATCGCGACTCAAACTCCCCGAGGAACGTCTGACGCAAACCGTAGTTCAGTAATCCTACACTCTGAAACAGAGGGGTCTTTAGTAAAGGCAATGAGCAGATACACCCTTTAAACAGTGGTTCCTCAAGGGTTCTTTAGTAAAGACAATCAGTACAGACATCCTTCTAAAAAAGTGGTTCTTCAAGGGTTCTTTGGTAAAGACAATCAGTACAGACATCCTTCTAAAAAGTGGTTCTTCAAGGGTTCTTTAGTAAAGACAATCAGTATATACATCCTTCTAAAAAGTGGTTCTTCAAGGGTTCTTTAGTAAAGACAATCAGTATATACATCCTTCTAAAAAAGTGGTTCTTAATGGGTTCTTTAGTGAAGGCTATCGGTATACACATCCTTCTTAAAAAAGTGGTTCTTCAAGGGTTCTTTAGTAAAGACAATCAGTATATACATCCTTCTTAACAAAGTGGTTCTTCAAGGGTTCTTTTGTAAAGGCGATCAGTACATTCATCCTTTTAAAAAAGTGGGTCTTTAAGGGTTCTTTGATAAAGGCAATCTATACATTCATCCTTAGAAAAGGTGGTTCCTTAAGGGTTCTTCAATAAAGGCAATGTGTATATAAATCACTTCTAAAAAGTGCTTCTTCATTGGTTCTCTAGTAGAGGCGGTCATGGTTCTTTGCATGGTTAAATGGTTCTTCTCTAAGATGGAAAACTTGTTAGAAAACATTGTTTTTTGGTACTTTATAGAACCCCTTTTGCTAAAACTGTTCTCACCTCTGTGCTCTTGAGTGTGTGTAGAAAACACGGGTGACTGTCAGAACCTTGGTGAAAACTGCGTAAGTGGGTTTTAAGAAGAAAATTTCTTCTTAAGAACAGTCGGTGAATGAGGCCCAATATCCAGCACAGAACCATGAAAACTACGAAAAAGCATTTAAATGGCTCTTTGTGCTGTTATATAGTTTTGTTTTAGTGATTGAA